ATATATATACTATATATATATATATATATATATATATATATATATATATATATATATATATATATATATATATATATATATATATATATATATATATATATATATATATATATATATATATATATATATATATATATATATATATATATATATATATATATATATATATATATATATATATATATATATATATATATATATATATATATATATATATATATATATATATATATATATATATATATATATATATATATATATATATATATATATATATATATATATATATATATATATATATATATATATATATATATATATATATATATATATATATATATATATATATATATATATATATATATATATATATATATATATATATATATATATATATATATATATATATATATATATATATATATATATATATATATATATATATATATATATATATATATATATAAACACCATAGAAAATACAGCATTACAAATATCAATGCTTTCGATGAACGAAACGGTTATTCAAAATGAACATGAAATAATGAATATTCATAATATCATCTGACTGCAGCCGAACTGACAGGATATGATGTGTGTGTTTATATGTAGGTTGGATGATCGACGCTGACAGCAGGCCTCACTTTCGTGAGCTTGTGGTAGAGTTTTCCAAAATGGCGCGAGATCCATCCCGATACCTTGTCATTCAGGTATTTTCTGTGGAAAATGAAAAAGAACTCACTTATAGATTTGGTTGGCACCATGTCATATCTGGGGGCGTGACCTGGGGGCAGAGTCAGCAGGGGAGAAAACATCCCTTTCCCCTGGACGAATGGACGATGCATTTAACAGTCATCATAAGCTTAAATCCTCAAAAGTTTTTAATCTTTTGATTTTTAAAACAACGTGTATATATATATATATATATATATATATATATATATATATATATATATATATATATATATATATATATATATATATATATATATATATATATATATATATATATATATATATATATATATATATATATATATATATATATATATATATATA